TTAGGAGAAAAGGTAAGGTACAAAAATGCTGAAGACTACGAAGCCAAACTATCTCCATGTATCTTTCTGGCTCAAAAAGGCAACTCATCCTGGGGATTGGCAAAGGGATTGATCCTTAGGGAGTATGTTAAAAGGACTAAAAAGATGTCAGTACTGTGGTAATGGCATGAGACATCAGTATTTGGGTAACAAGTAACAGGGATTTCATAAGGGCCTACTGTTTGTTTTTGCCTACTGACTGGTTTGGCACGATGATGCTTTATTTGGAGCATGGTAAGGAAAATGGACCATCCTGGGGTAGAGAGATGGCTCAGTGGCTAAAAACACTTGCTCTTTTGGACACCCAGGCTTGGTTCCTAGCACCCACAGAGGGTCACAGCCCTCTGTTCCAGAGCATATGACAGCCTCTTACTCCACATATACACACACAGACAGTAAACCCAAACAGGCTCTCTAGCGCTCTCTAGCGCTCGCTAGCGCTCTCTCCCTCCCTCTCCCTCTCACACACAACACACACACAAACAAAAATAATTAAACCTTTTTAAAAACCCAGCAAATGCCCAGGCTCCTGTTGCACCTGTGACCGAGCTGTGACTGTGATGGGTGTGAAAAGGAAAATTCTCTCAGTTCTGGTTTGGACACAGATGGGTGTTGTCGGATCCTGGCCAAAACAACAAGAGCAAAACAGACAAAAAGCCCAGCACACTCAAATGATACAGTCAAGGGGGAAACTAAGGGAGCCCATCTGAAAGCGAGGGAAGGATGGACGGGGGCCGGTAGGAACGGTGGCATACATCTGGAAGCCACCGTAACATCATTTCTAAGTCTAAGGTCTGTGTAACACACAAAGAGATCAGGACATGATCATTACACAGAAGAATACAGACATGCAAAAGGCAGCTTTGCCAGTTCCCCTCACCTTAATCTAGCTATCACAGGACTGCTACAGGTAAGTCACTAGAACAAATAATGCAGATCCCTTCTCCTAGATCAAGTTAAAAATGGGCAGAAAAAAATGCTAGGAGTACGTAATGAATGGCAACTTCTGGCATTTCCTTATCTCTAAGAGCAAACAGATAAGCCATTTCCCTATGATGGACAGATCTAAGCCATGGCCCATCTCTGTGGTCAAAGGACATCGCTATACCTGCATCAGCAGATCTCACATGGCATAGCATCTTGTTTGTTTCTCTTTCATTAGACTCTGCACTCCCTTAGGGAAGGAATTGTCCTATTTACCTTTATATCAAGAGCACTCTAAAAAGGTACAAAAGTCATCCCACAGTGTGCACTGGATCAATTAATGGACTCAGTGTCTATTAGCTGATGCCTAAATACAGAATGATCCTTAGTAACTAAACAGTAAGTTATATTCAGGACACAGTGTAATACAGTGGGCTAAAATAGCAACTTTTTTATACCAACTCTATTGTTCTCTATATAGTAGCTTTTCTTATGTATTCAGGCGATTATAGATGAACTTACCAACAGTTCTAGAACCACTCATAAAAAGATCAGGAGTAAGGCCAAGTGTGCATGATGGCGCACATCTTTAATCCCAGCACTCAGGAGTGAGAGGCAGGTGGATCTCTGTGTTCAAGGTCAGGCTGGTCTACAAAATGGGTTCCAGACCAGCCGGAACTATAGGGTAAGACTGTATCTATAAATAAAGAAGCAACTGAGCAAATTCAAATGGAAATCAATGGTAGGCTTGTCAAAGCAAAGACTCAAATGAACCAGAAGATGACAAGAGGAATCACTTCAGAGGAATCAATATATATTTATTCTCTCTCAAATTTTTTTTTTTTTCAAGGGTTTACCAAATCCACTGAAGGAGCTATGTATGTATGTATACATGCATACATATATATATATGTATATATATATGAGAGAATTAATGGAGATTATTTAGAAACAAACACATGCATAAACACACATACATATAATGTTTAACGATCACTTAAAAAGACATCACCCTGGGTAAAAATTATGAAGTACTTGTGTAACGAAATCATGTAACATCATCATATTAAAATGGGTGTACAGAGTGATGTTGAGTAGTCATTAACAGAATGTGGAACATTTTTCACATTATAATTATGAATCGCTTTCACATAACCCATACTTAGGAAGTGTTTGATCATCTTCCTGTCAGTGTAGTCAACTCTTACCTGTAGATTCTCCACAGAAAAGGGGAGAAAGAAAAAGCTCAAGTCACACTGAAAGCTTTCTTTAAAAAAGACAATCTTAGGCTGCCAATCTCTGACATGAGTAAGGTGAATTAAATCCCAAATAAGAGTCCTTAGGCTCTTCTAGAAAGGGTAGGTCTACTCTAAAACCCATTTTCCAAAAGTCAGTCTTAAAGGGCTCTGTATCACTGCTCCCCCTTAGTGTGAAATAGATGTTGTTAAATCTAACAGCACTTTGTACACAGCTCATTAAATAAGTAGGTTACTTTCTACTTGGGAAAAGGGAGCTCTGGGCTGTCTTGACAATACACTGAACTATTTTAAAAGAAACTGCCGCAGCGGCACAAGATAAAAACAGTACAAAGATAAAATAAGGTTTAAACAGATGAAGATCTCTTTTTAAAAAGCAAACTTAATGTGGAATCCCCAGAAAGAGCTTTTTTCTGAATCACTGAAGACACGGTAGCTGTGCACAGTAGCTCATGCCTGCAGCCCTGCCATTTCAGAGGTTGACACTTCAGGAGACTGGCAGAGGCTCCAGGTCTGCTGGGGCTGCAGGTGTCATATTTCACAAAAAATCCAAGAGGTATGGGAAAGACAATATTGTCAACGCCGCCAGGCAGTGGTGGCGCACGCCTTTAGTCCCAGCACTCCGGAGGGAGGCAGACGCAGGCCATCTCTGTGAGTTTGAGCCCAGCCGGGTCTACAGAGCTAGTTCCAGGACAGCCAGGGCTACACAGAGAAACCCTGTCTTGAAAAAACAAAAACTATGTATGTATGTATGTATGTATGTATGTATGTATGTGTATATATGCCTGAAGGACATCATATTCCTGAAACTGTAGGATCAATTGGGACAGTCATATTATTCCAAGCTCAACAGAATGTTTCATGTTGAAAATATAGGCCACTAGAAAATATAACATAAAAATTCACTGCATTCATGTCCCGCTACACATGATCTTTGTCAGTGTATTTGTTCAGTACAGGGATTCACCGTGTGGCCCATGCTAACCTGAATTCACACTAGCCTCTAACTCATAACAACCTTCCTACCTTAACTTTCTGAGTGATGGGATTACAAGCATGAGATAGAACACCGGGTTCATGAATGTTTTAAAAGTAGAGATCTACTACATGAATGTTTTAAAAGTAGAGATCTACTACGTGGCTTCCTATTAATAACATTAGCTGTGGCTCCTCCCTATGGGTAGTATGTATTGTTGCAGCCCTTCTAATCAGGGTTCGGGCCATAGGAAAATGACATAGTAATTCAGCCAGGGATGTATTCCCAACACCCTGGAGGGTTGAGGAAGAAAAGGCACAAGTTCCAAACCAGGCTGCACGGCACGACCCGGTCCAGACAGAGGAAGGAAAAAGAAAGGTAAGATGGGGGAGGAAGAAACATTTTATAAGCTAATGATTTTCAAAATAGTATGACCTAACATCTAAGAAGATGTTTCCATAAAGACGGTTTGTTTAGTGACCCAAGCTCTCCCTAAGTAGCCTAGGCCGGACTTGAGCTAAAGATTTTCCTGCCTCCACTCACAGGTGCCTGGGTTACAGGCCTATGTCACCCTTCCTAAAGACTGTCCTAAGACTGAACCCCCTCTTTTAAACTGTACAATTCACTGTGAAACTACGGGGTGATGGTGTCCAGGTAAATAAAGAAGCTGCACAAGTTTTTTTTTTGTTTGTTTGTTTGTTTTTTAAGAAAATGCGTTTAAAAAAAAAAGGTATCAAATTTTCACAATTTGACAAGACTGCGGGGCACCTAAATGATCAGGCTGGAAGCAGGAAAGAAGAATGGCCAAAAGCTGCTAGAACGGTCAAAGGCCTGAGGAAAGTTTCCCTGTGTCTGAGAAGTCACTATGCAGATTTGTATCTAAGATGCAAAAGCCACTGGCTGCCTTGAGAACCTGCCAGGACTACTTGACCCAGTGTCCCACCACCCAAAGAGGTGGAAGCCACTCCTTCCAATGCCTACCCTTCGTCCACGCGATTTCAGCTCCCCACCCCGAAAAGAAAGAAGCACCCGGAGACCAGAGACCCCCAAAACTGAATTCTTCCAATCAGGAAAATAACGCCCACTTTTCCTGGAGCTAAAGAAGTGTCTAGAGCTCCCCGCTGGGCTGTCACGGGAGGCAGAAAGGTATACCACAGGCAAGGGCTGAGCAAGAAGGAAAGGGCAGGACTCCTGCGAGGAGTGGGAAGCAAGCATCCTCAGACCTCACCAGGCAGAAACCTGGCACCCTCACCCCCTCTTGCAACCTGACAATTTACAACCTGGCAACGCCTTCTAATTAGGAACGTTCGAGGCCTTTTATAGACAAAAGGGAAAACTTTAAAGTGCTTCTCACAAGTTCCGATCAACCGGGCACTGGAGCCCGCCCCCGCCCCCCACCCCACCCCACCCCACCCCACCCCCGGAGAAGCCGGGCAGCATCCAACCTCCCGGCCTCGCTGCAGAACCAGAGGAGCCAGAGCCCGGCGAGGGTTCCCGGCGCCGTGGAGAGGGAGGAGCCCACCCGACCCGGGGCGGCAGAGCGGGCCGGGGAAAAGGGTAGCAGCGCAGGCGAGGAGAGCGGCCAAGCAGGGCGAGCGAGCCTCAGCGCACCGGCAGGCAGGCAGAGAGAGCCCCGCGCAGCAGGCCGAGCGCAGGGTGCACAAGCGAGGGGTCCCCGGGCTGCGCCAGCGGCCCCCGCCCCCGCGGCCCCGGCTCCGCCCGCGCAGGGCGCACCCACCCCCGCAGTGCGCGGCTCCGCGGCCGCCCCCGCCCCGAAGACCCCCGGGGCCGCGGCGCCCACGTACCGAGCAGCACGCACAGCACATCGAGGGCCACGTAGGGCAGCCGCGTCTTGTCGAACATGGTCTCGGGCCCCACGGCGGGCTACCTGCGGCAGGCGGCGGTTGGAGCGGACCGCGACCGGCTCGGAGCCCCCGGGGCCGGCAGCCCGCAGCGCCGCACGGCGGCCGCCCCGAGCGTCTCCCGCGGGCCGGGCCGGGCCGGGCCGGGCACCGGGCGCCTCCCTTGGCCGCGCCCGCCTCGGGGCTCGGGGCTCGGGGCTCGGGGACTCGGGGCCAGCCGCTCGGTCGCCTCCCGCGCCCGCTCCGCCAGCGCTGCCCGCCGCCCTCTCTCCAACAGGCGGGGCGCCCGGGCTCGCGCTTTAAGCTCGAGCGCCCGCGGGCGTGGGGTGGGCGGGGTGGGGGAGGGCGGCGCGCGCCCCCGGCTCCTCCCGCCCGTGCGCGGCCCCGCCGGCCGCAGGAGCGCGCGCAGGCCGCGCGGGGCGGGGCGGGGCGGGGCGGGGCCGGGCCGGTTGCAGGGATCCGGAGCTCTGGCTTTGCTTTCAGCCCTTGGTGCTCCGCGATGCTTCCTTTAAAGGGCGGCTGGGCCCTGCTCACGCCGCCGCCGCCGCCGCCCCTCCTCTCCCGTGCAACGGGACGGAGACACGGCCTCCCCGTCACCAGAGTTTACAGCTAGTAACCTCGAACCCCATTCTGTGAGGCTTGGGCTTCCTGGTGGTTCTAGCGGAGCCCTGTCTGAACGAGAATCCTGGCTGTCCGATCCTTCTCGATGCTCCACTGTCTGCATAGATTTGCCCTCCCATTTTCGATGCATGTAAATCCGCGGTCTGCCCTCAGCAAGAATACCCCTGCCATTGTCGTCCTGTGGCTGGCTTTCCGTCCACTGACTCATCCACTCCCTTTGTTCCTCAGCTGCAGATCTCCCTCTGAGTCTCCCCTTCTGGCAGGCAGGTCATGACTCCTACTGCAGCAGAGTTGATGGGGACTTCATCTGGGAGGAGATTGGAGGCGCGTCGGGGGTAAAGTTCCGGCTTCGCATGCAGGGGCCTTAGGTTTGTTCTGGAGTAGAGCAGCAACGGTGCTCACGTACACAGTAGAGAGTTTTAATTGCATCTCAGTAAATATCAATGATTTTTCAATAGTGGCAATCCCCCTGCTTATTCCCACGGGACCTTTAGAACACATTTAGTAATCTCAGTTTCCTAATTTGTAAAAAGAGGATGTTGACAATCCCTGCTGTCTGTTCTAATCAAGAGGAAGTGGTGAGGCTAAGCTCAGTAATGTGAAAACGGCTTTATAAAGAGTTAAACCACCGCCGATGTTAACAATAGATGGTTTCCTCCGTGTACTTAGCTTTTTTTTTTTTTTTTTTTTTTTTTTTTTTTTTGAGATAGTCTAACTCAGGAGGGCCCCACATTCTGCTATGTAGCAGAGAATGGCCTTAAACTCCGAATCCTCCTGCCTCACTTCCCAAGGCATTGTAGACATGAGCCGCCAGGCCAAGGTCTTCATAGCTTACCTTCTTACATGAAGATGTAAAATAGAAACCACAAGACACGCCTTCTGCTTCTCGGGTGTTTCCTGCGAAGCACCCCGAAAGACAAGTGGAAGGATGTAATCCTGAGGAGTCAGATGTATTTCCAGTGCAACTATAAAACCACAGACAAAATGTGTATTTCCTTACCTCCAGAGTTATGAGTCCCAGATGGCAAGGTCATAATAAACTTGAAATAATTTGTGATATGACTATTCACTTTTTAACTTTTATCAAGCACGTACCATGTGCCAGGTACAGTCTAGACCTGAGGTTTTATCTAAGCAGCTTTGAGATGAACATGCTGGACAAGATGGTACCTGTCTGTGTTGGTGGAAGAAAGGGAACCCAGAGACCCAGGGAGAACCGCGACTACATAGCGCGTTTATAGTTCTATTGATGGGAAGTTGTTAGGCCCCACGTTGGGCGCCATGATGTTATGGGTAGTTTTTTTTCCCCCACCGGTCTGGTCCCATCACCTTGCCAGCCCCAATTAACACACAGAGACTCTGTATTTGATATAACACTGTTGGCCTGTTACTAGTTTCTTATCGGCTAGCCCTGTCTTAATTATTAACCCATTTCTATTGATCTAAGTACTTCCACGTGGTCTCATCTTACCGGAGAGAGGGGCTGGCCTTCTGCTCTCTCCATCCTTCATCTTGGATCCCCTTCCTTCTACTTCCTCTCTCCTCCTCATCTCCTAGTCCCACCTATCTTGCTTTCCTATTGGCCAACAGTGCTGTATTCATTAACCAGTATGAGAAACATATTTACAGAATGACATCTCCCATCAGGAAGTCTCCTTTCGGGTGAATTCTTCATTTGGTTTCTGTTGCTGTGCTGAGACCGTGAACAAAAGCAACTTGGGGAGAAAGGGACTTATTTCTTCTCATAGCTGTAGTTCACCATTAAAGAGGTCAGTGTGGGAGCTCCAGGCAGGAACCTGGAGGCAGGAGCTAAGCTGAGGCCACAGAGAAACACTGTCCATTGGCTTGCTCCCCCACGGCTTGCTCAGCCTTCTTAAACCAGCCAGGACCTCCAGCTTATGGGTGCCACCACCCACAGTGGTCTGGACCCTCCCACATCAATCATTCCTCAGGAAATTATCCCACAGACCCTACAGGCCAGACGCCCCTCCCCCTGAAAAATCTAACCATGACAAGTGCCAACTAATAAATGCAAATGAATGAACAGATTTTAAATCCATTAGGCAACTGAGTTATGGGAATTTGGAGGGCCCCATCCTGCTACCTGCCCATAGGTCATTTATAACACACACACACACACACACACACACACACACACACACACACACACACACAGATTACCTTTATGGAAAAGTTCGGGCTGTTACTACATGACTCACATGGTCAAACTTAGCTCCCTGAGTTTAAGAGAACCAAAAACCTTCATCCAAGAATAACTGTCTGTGAGCCTATAGTCTGCATTCCAGAAGATATGTTGGATAGAGGAATAGATCAACTGAAGCCAGGAGATAACAGCCATGCAAATTTAGAGGAAACATCTACTTCTAAAATGTTTTATTCGAATGTAAAATTTCAAGGGCTAGGGAAATGGTTAGGCTGGTAACATGCTTATCATGCAAGTATGAGGACCTGAGTTTGGATTCCCAGCATGTGTGTAAAAATCAGGGCATAGCAGTGTGCACCTGTAATCTCATAACCGGGGAGAAGGGGACAGGCAGGTTTCTCCAGCTTCCTGGACAGCCAGTCTAGCCTATCTATGAGCTGCAGTTTCAGTGAGAGACCATTCCAGAAGAAATAAACTGGAGAGTAATCGAGGAAGACACCTAAGGTTGGTATTATCTGTCCTCCAAGCACAACATGTATACACACACACACACACACCAAAAACAACATTTAAAATACTTTATTAGACTTCTGAACTCATTTCAAGACTAACTAGACTACAAAGCAAGACTCCAACTCAAAAGAAAAGAGGAGGAGGAAGATGAAGAGGAGGAGGAGGAGGAAGGGGACGAGGAGGAGAAAGCAGCTGTAGTGTTTCATGCCTGTGCTCCCAGCACTGGGAAGGCAGAAGCAGAAGGATCCTGAATTCAAAGCCAGGTTAGGCTACATAATAAATTCCAGGCTGGGTCACAGAGTAAGAAAAAGCCAATTTCCCTACTCCCAATGAACACACATTCTTATTCATGTTTTTATTCATCATTTACTCATCCATTTTAAATTTATTTTTAAAAGCAGCTCTGTTAAGAGATAATTGGTGCCAGCAAGATTGCTCAATGGGTAAAAGCTCTCGCCAGACTCGCACTAACAGCCTGAGTTGGAGCTCCAGAACTAAACGTGGGAGAGGAAAACTGACGTCTCTGAGTTCACTTCGGGCACTGTGGTGTGAGCAAACCCTCCCCATCCCTGTGCACACATATATTTACACACACAATAACAATAAATGCATTGTTTAAGTGATTCCATTCATCTGTCCTACAGTTTACCTGTTGAAAGGCTACAACCCTACCATTTTGAGGATGTTCTGAGTTGAATGACCACAATCAATTTTAAAACATTTTTATCAGTCAAGAAAGAAACTTTAGAGTTATCAATAAGCAGTCATTTCCAACGGTAATGACTTCCCTACCTTCTGTCTTTATGTAAGTGTCTGTCTGGGTCTTCCTATGCCAGCTGCATCTAATGTTTGACCTCTGACCGATGTCCCCCTTTCTCTTTCCCCCAATCACCCATGCCTCTAGTAAGCACTATCCTACTCAGTCCTCCTCCAACAGCATCTCCTTTTGATTCCACGCGTGAGTTAGAGCGTATAGTAGTCTTCTTTCTTATTTGAATGAGTGTTCCCCAGGTTCACCCATGTGTCTCAGGCTTTCATTCTTTGTATGACTGGGCTCTCTCTCTCTCTCTCTCTGTTTCTCTCTCTCTCTCTCTCTCTCTCTCTCTCATATATATATATGTGTGTGTGTGTGTGTGTGTGTGTGTGTGTGTGTGTGTGTGTGTATGGTTGTAGGATCATGACTAGCTTCTGGAGCAACGCTGAGTCAAACCCTACCAAACAACTTTGACATGTCAGTGTCAACTGAAGAGAGAATATTCAAGCCATGACAACACTAATATCCTTTGAGGGACAGAGTGAACCCATCCCTAGACTGCTCCTGAATCTTCAGAGCACCCCTTAAATGCTTAACAGTTTGTCCCTGTCCAACGGGGACAACTCCCCGCAACTCAAACGTCAAACAAAAGGCTTGGGAAGAATATTCCTGGGGACTTCCTCCAAAAGAGACGAATTTCCTCTCTTCTGTTATTCCCAAACTTCAAAATGGAGTCCGCATTAGACAGCGTAGTCACGGATGTGACAGAGAAGCTGACAAGAGGTGACTTAAAGGAAGGAAAGCAAGGAAAGCTTGTTTGGGCTCACAATTTACTGCATGGCCCCTCATGGCGAGGGAAGCAGGGTGGTTAAAGTGGCTGGGACACAAGGCGGGGACACGGTGCCCTCTGATGAAGCAGAAAGAAGAAATGCCGGAGCTCCATCTATTCCCTTGTTTACCCTGCCCAGGCCGCAGCCTACGGAACCGGACGCTGCCACTCACACTTGGGGTGCGTCTTTCCTTCTGGGTTGCAGCCCAGAGGGGGATCTCCCAAGGTACTGACTGGTACAGGCAAGTTGAGAGTGGAGATTAGCCTCCCATCACAGTCTCCGGTCACGTCCTGAACTCCTCCCCTCCCAACACCCTTGAT